CATTGTATAATGACAAAATAAAAAAAAAAAAAAAGAAAAAAAAAAAAAAAAAAAAAAAAATGCTCGCACACAAAACCACAAAAAAAAAAAAAAAAACCGGGGGGTGGGGGGTGGGGAAGAAGATTACTATACTTTTTTTTGAAGTTGTTACAACAAGCGAACGAGAAGGGCGTGCTTGGGGGGGAGGGGACAGAGGGAGGAGGGCGGGAGGTGTCGGTGAAGGGACATAATAATCATATACATTGTATATTGACAAAATAAAAAAAAAAAAAAAGAAAAAAAAAAAAAGAAAATAAGACTTACACAAATGAAAAAGGCATGGTACAGTTACAATGATACATAATCAAGAAGTACAAATTAAAAACAAGCAGGAAAAACTTTAAGAATTCAAGAACCAAGTTTTACTCCAAAAGGCAGACAACTCAAGAGGCGTTTTTAAATCACCAATAATTTTATTACCCAAATACTTTTTATATGAATTATAACATTATTGATGTATATATTGTAACTATTTTTTTCCTCCACCTTTACTGAGGTACAATTGACAAATAAAAATAGTATATATTTATGGTTAAAACATGATATTTTGATATATGTATACATTGTAAACTGATCACCACAATCAAGCTAATTAACATATCCATCACCTCCCATAGTTACTTTTTGTGTGTGTGTGGTCACAACATTTAAGATCTACTCTCTTAGCAATTTTTAATTATACAATACATTATTATTAACTGTAGTCACCATGCTGTACAATAGATCTCCAGAATTTATTCATCCTAATTGAAACTGTACCCTTTGACCAACATCTCCGCATTCCCCCCAACCTCCAGCCACTACCATTCTACTCTCTGCTTCTATTAATTCAACTTTTTCAGATTCCACATACAAATGAGATTATGCAGTATTTGTCTTTCTGTGCCTGGTTTATTTCACTTAGCATAATGTCCCCAAGTGGGATTGTTAAAACTCCTGAGAGGAATTTTCTGAATTCTAGCTCATTTAGATTTAATTAATAAATGATAACCAGTTTATTAAAATGGGCACAAAACACATTATTAGGCAGTCTGGATTAAAAATGAGTAAGCAAATAGATTCATATTTACAATAAGACATTTAACTAAATACTAATAAATACTAAAAGAGTGGCTGCCCAGTTTTGCTCTATATTTGACCTCAAAGAAAACAATGAAAGGAACCACTGAAAATACTGAAGAGTCCCTATGTAAGTCTAAGCAAAATCAACAGGGAAACGTTCCATCTGCAGCTGCTGAGTTTCCCTCTTTGATTTTTAAAGGTAGCACAGAACTCTTAAACTTACTCCTCTTTGATATTTCCCCATTTCTACTAAAAGCAGTTTTCTCTGTCTCAAAATTTTGAAATTACCTTGGCTTCTTATCTGCTTACCTTCTCATACCCAATTGAGTCATCAAGTTTTGTCAATTATTTCATCACAATTACATGACGAGTGTCATAGAATTATATCAGTGGGAGAACTGTATAGGTCATCTATCCTAATTTCCTAATTTTACAGGTGAAGAAACTGAGGTCCACAGAGGTAATGGGAGTTACTTGATCAAAGTCACAGAACTAGTAAGTGGCAGAGTTAGGACCCAATTCCCAAAGATCTTTCTCTGTCAGATTAACACTTCTCTCTCATTACTATAAAATTTCATCACTGGGCCGGCCCGGTGGCGCACTGCTACAGTGCGCCGCTTGGGAAGCACGGCGGCGCTCCCGCTGAGGGTTCGGATCCCACATACAGACCGGCCGCTCACTGGCTGAGCGAGGTGCCTTTCATTCAATTTCCTACCGAACATTTTTTTACCTGGATGTTTGTCTCATAGGTACCTCAAAAACTTGCCCATCCCAATACAGAATATATTTCCTCAAGGACTCCTTCCCAAGGATTCCCTTTCTCAGTGAATGATACTACGGACCATGTATTTGTGCAAGCCAAAAATCTGGAATTCATCCTAGCCAAAAATCTGGAATTCGTCCTTTCCTCACCCTCCCACCTAATTAATGATGCCCGTCAATTCTATTTGCAAATCATCTTCCAAATCTGTCTACTCCACTCCAATTCAGCATGATTCCCCACTCCCATCCCACCATTCCCCAGTGTATTCAGGACCAATCTAATTCATCTCTCAAACAGATCCCTGAAAACTCCATACCAATTGGTTTCCTGTATGACAGTCCAGCCTTCTTTCAACCCATTTTTTCAGATGGCTACCAGAGTCAGTCTTTTAAGAAATATAACTCATTCTTTAAAACTTTGAAATGATTTGCCATTTCTCTTAAAAATCACACTCCTTTACGGGAGTTCAAAACCTAGCCCCTTGCTTATCGCTCCAGTCACATGTAAGGATGTTCTCCCCTTTTTCTAGGCAATCTGGCCAGACTCTTCATTCCTCGAAGCCTCCAGTCTATTACTTTTCATTCTTATAGCTTTCGAGTACGTTATAATATCAAATATAGCAAGTTCTTCATCATTCTGTTTTTATTTTTGTTTTTCCAAAATTATCTTAGTTATTCTCAACTGTATGTATTCTCTATGTATGGATTCTTAACTATCTATGTGTGCGTGTGTGTGCACAGAAAATTATACACACACATGAGGGTACTTCAAAAAGTTTCTGGAAAAATAGAATTAAAAGTTAATACAAATCTTCCCATGAACTTTTTGAAGTACCCTCATAGATTTTCTCAACTGTATGTTCTTCCAGGTAAATTTTAGAATGACTTCATTTCCAAATTCCATCTACAACTTATTCTCAAAAAAAAAGAAAAAGAAAGAAAAAAATACTGACTACAGCATAACCTGTAAGTTAATTTTGGAAGAACTTATGTTTTTGCATTATTCAGTCTTCCCATTCAAGAACATCTTGAATCTCTTGAATCTCTTAATTTCTCCCAGTCTTTGGTAATTCCCTTGGCAAAGTTTCATAATTCTTCATAGTTCCTACAGATTTCAGTTTATGAATATTCCTAACTTCTTTTTTTTTTTTGGGTGGGGGGTTGCTATGGTAATTTTTTTTCCATTTTATTATTGGATAACATGCTAATTGCCTGGTCACCTTTCTGAACTTTCATTAGCACAAAAATTTCTAAGTTAGAGATCTTGAATATTCTAACTACACAATATTTTCTACAAATAATAATTTTGTCTTCTCTCTTCCAATATCCATACCTGATTTCATTTTCTTATTAAACTGCCACAGTTAGAACTTCCACATAAAGTTTAAAAAAAAAATGGGCATCTTGGGCCGGCCCTATGGCTCACTCGAGAGTGTGCTGCGCTGGTAGCACTGACGCCGCGGGTTCAGATCCTATATAGGAATGGCCAGTGGGCTCACTGGCTGAGCGTGGTGCAGACGACACCATGCCAAGGGTTGCGATCCCCTTACCAGTCACGAAAAAAAAAAAAAAATGGGCATCTTGTCTTGTTCCCAGTTTTGCTGTTAAACAATATATTGACTATTAAACAATATAAAACTATAGGTTTGCAACAAATGTTTTCCTTCATGTTAAGAAAGTGTCATTCTATTCTTAGCTTTAAAGATGTTTATGTGTAATGAGGTAAGAAATGGACATGAAATTTTATTAAATGTAATCTGTTGTGCTTGTCATATACTTTTATTTGATTAAATGATGTAAATATATTAATAGATCATGAATTATTAGTAAAGTAATGGTTAAGAGCATTGACTCTGGAGCCAGACTGCCTGGGTGACTTAATCCACTCTATGCCTTATTTGTAAGATGGAAACATTATTAGACATGCCAGGCTTTTGTAAAAATTAAGTGAGTAGTGCATAAGAAGTGCAGAGAACAGTGCCTGGCGCATAATACGTGCAATATTACAATTTGCTATTACTGTTTTTAAATCTTTGCTGTATTCTTGGGCTAAACTCTAATCATTGTGTATTACTCTTTTGACATAAGATAAAATATAATTTGCTCATAACTTATTTAAGATAATAACATCAATACAGTTATATCTTTTTCTTTTACTTTAGCTATCCAAAGAATGTTATATTTAATTATTTTATTCCAAGAATTGTTTTGTTTTTTTTTAAATTACCATAGAATAAATAAAAATATCTCTGATGAAATGTATTTTTAGGTTTTGGTACTTGGGCTGGATTAGCATCATTAAAATGATATGAGTAATGTTGTTTGCTTTTCTTTGTTCTAGAGCAAAATATATAACATTAATATAATTTTCTTAAATTTTCTTAAAATTTAAAAATTTTTCAAGAACTTAAATAAAATCATCACTGTTTTGGGAGGTATTCTTCAAAAGCTCTTTCAATTTATTTCCCAGTAATTGGTCTATTAAAATCTTCTAGTTCTATAGATATTTTGGTGAGTTATTTAACTTAATCCAAATTTTTCAATTTGTAGCTACAACTGCATATATTCTTAATATTTGTTTTTACCTCCTCTAAATCTGTCATTATGTCTTTTTTAAATTTCTACCTTTAGAGTTCTCTCACCATTTTTCTGACTTAGATTTGTCAGTGGTTTGCTTATTACACTGATATACTTCCAAGAACCATTTGAAAACATTCTGCTGCATTTCTTTTTTCTAATTTATTAGATTCTTTTTTATCTGGAATAGTTGATATTGACTTTACATTTACAGAAGTAATATAAAATTTCCTTTCTGAATAAAATGAGAATTCAAAAGTAAGGGGCATGGAAGCATACTGCTCTGGTTCAGGAGTAGAATACATTTAGCCTAAGAATATGATCCTATTTATCTTGACTGATGATAATGATAATAAAAATTACCTATAGACTAGTGGATGTGTTCTTGTTTCATGTTTATCAGGTGCTGTTGCCAGGGTTGGTTTTGTATTTCATTGATGTTTGAGATAAAATTGGGAGGGGCATTTAAGTGGAGTAAACCATGGTCTCCCTTCACTTCACCCAGGTGCTAAGCTTTTCCCTTTCTCAGATCTTGACCAGGAAAAGTCTAATGTCCTTTGACAGTAAATAATAATTATTGTGCATAAGAAACTACATGACCAATGCTATAAGCAGTATAGTGAAGTGGTTAAGAGAGCAGGCTCTAAGGCAGACTGCCTGGCTTTAAATCTCAGCCCAGAAACAATATGCTAAATGACCTTAGGAAAACTCCCAATGCCTCAGTTTCCTCATCCATGAAATGGGGATTCTGTAAAATTGGAATGGTAATAGAATCCATTTCATTGGATTTTGTGAGTGTTAAATGAGTTAATGTACTATGGTGCTTAGAACAGTACCTTTCCTATAATAATAATTACTAACAGCTATTGAGTACATTATAGGTATCCAGCACCATGAGAAATTTTTCATACATATCATCATACAATATATATTTCACACAGTGAAAAGAAAGTTTTTCCTCTACCCAAAGTATAAATAAATCTGGTTTTCAACACAAGATATGGTCCAACTATTCTCTGAAATGAAACTTACTTTTGCTTTAAAACTGTTCTTAGAGCATCTCTCTGTCCCACGGAGTACTGAGAAATAAAGATGTCATTTGCTGCAAAATCAAGACACAAAAATAAATTTTCAGATTTCTGAAAATTTATTAAATTTTTAATAAGCTACTCAAAAAATCCCAACTTTTTAAACTAAAGGAATGTTTAGGAATTCAGCAATACAATTTCTCAATAAAAAAAGGCAAAGAACAAATTAAGTGACTAAGTAATCATATAATAGTCGTAACCCTAGACACTACGACAAAAAATTGTATCAAAAAACCCAAGGCCAAATTGGAGACATTTGCTCAAACTCTAAAGAGAAAACTGCTTAGAATAAAATAAAACCAACTATTTTAAAAATTGTCATTAAATAAAACATTTCAAAGCACATTTTTAATCTCTCACCAAAGACCATTCAAAACTTGAATTCAGAATTCATGAACAGATATCTAATACCAAACCTACGCAATAGTTGGTAATAATAAAATAACCTTTAACATTACTTTTTCCTGGATTTTGGAGATTCTACTAATGGCTTAATTTGGGAGAAAAAAACTAATTAAAATTAAAATAACAAAAATTGTAAGGCTGTTGAATGAATATCTAAAAATCAGTTCTACCCTTACAAAGGAAATTCTGACACGTTACAACTTGCATGAACCTTGAAGACATTATACTAAGTGAAATAAGCAGTCATAAATGGTCAAATACTATATGATGCCACTTACATGAGGTACCTACAGTAGACAAATTCATAGAGATAGAAAGTAGGATGGTGGTTTCCAGGGACTGAGAGGAAAGAAAATGGGGAGTTAGTGTTTAATGGTTATATAGTTTCAGGTGGGGAAGATGAAAAAGTTCCAGAGATGGATGGTAGTGACGGTTGCACAACAGTGTGAATGTATTTAATGCCACAGAACTGTACATTTTAAAATGGTTAAAATAGTAAATTTTATGTTAGGTATATTTTATCACAACAACAACAAAAAAATCTATTCTTTTACCATTTTGTCTGTTGCTCTCTTCAGTTTTATCCAAAGGCAACTCTTGTACTGCAACATGTTTAGAAAAATCCTTTGGGATATGAAAGGGAAAAGTGAGAGGCTAAATAAGCTTTTTGATGTATTACATACAAAGTACCTTTTATTAGCTATGTAACTACTGTGCTCTGGGAGGGCAAGACTGTGTGTTTTATATATTTCATTCCCTACACCACACAATGCTTAGGTACCTAGAAGCTACTCAAGGATTTGTTGAGTGAATGAGTAATGCACTGTCAGACAAGTGAATGAATGAGTAAATGAACAAGCAAGCAGATGAGGTACTGAGATTAGGATTCAAATCCCGATTTGCTACTTTCAACAGAGCAAGTCATCTAACAACTCAGTTGCTTCAGTTAAATGTGAAAATCTGTCAGTGAGTCTAATGGAGTAGATAAGTATGGTCAATGCATGGCACGACATCACAAATTAATCACAGCATTCTTTGACACTGAGCTCATATGTGGTCTCAGGTTTCTCTACATATGTGACAGTAAGTGGCAAACAGCTTTCTGCTCACGTGTGTAACCCTAGACTTCATCCCTAAGATTCTGTTCAGTGCTAAGACACAATGACTTTTACAGTACTAGATTAATTCAATGTTGCTCTTCACCTGACTTAGGTACGACTTTTCTTTTTTTTTTTTTCTGCTAAATCAGAAAAGAGAAAGGAAAAAATCATAAAAGGAAACTGTTCCAGGCTATCCACTGATGACAGGTGTTAACTTTCTAAAACTAAGCCAATGAGACTAACAATATAATAAAATGCACCTGGGAAATTAATATTAAGAACTCCCATAAATCAGTAAGAAAAATATGTAATTCTTTTTCATTTTTAATGAATTAAATACAAATGTATACAAATGGCCACATACATGAAAAAATTTCCCCTTCACTATAACAAAAGAAATACAAAATAAAATGTACCTTTTTACCTACCAAAATGGCAAAAAAAAATTTGTTTAATTTTAATGCTTTGTATTGGTAAAGACAAAGGAAAATAATTCCTCTCGTGACCTTGCTGGAGAGAATATATATTGGTATAGCCTCTCAAGAGGCAATTTAGAAATACTTCGGAGTGTGCTTATCCTTTGACCTAACAATTTTACACTTATAAATTAATACTTAGGAAATGACCTCAGATATGCACCAGAATGATCATCACATGGTTGCTTATATTATCAAAAATTGGGGGAAAAACCTTAATGTCAAATGATAGGAATATGAACAAATAAACTATGGTACACATACACACTGAAATTATATGAACATATTAAAAGTATCTAGAAAAAAAATCAATGGCATGGAAAGATATCCTTATACTACTTGATTATAAAACAGTATGGTAGCATTTCATAAAAAATGTATACACATAGGAAGAAAATTTAAAATGTTAACAGTTGTTTCAATCAATGGCATGGAAAGATATCCTTATACTACTTGATTATAAAACAGTATGATAGCATTTCATAAAAAATGTATACACATAGGAAGAAAATTTAAAATGTTAACAGTTGTTTCATTTAGTTGTGTGATATTTTTTTTTCTTTTTGTAGTTTCTAAAATGAATTTTTTTTTAAGTTTTTGTTTTCTTTGTACATATGGAAGGATTAGCCCCAAATAGGAAAAGGGACATCTCATCTTCTGTTAGTAGAAAGAAATAGGTTTGAATAGGAGCAGATATAAATAAGTTTATAAATGTGAGCATATGAGGCACAAACCTTCAGTTTTCTCATTAAACAACATGGTCAACTTAATCCACACTGTAATCTTACCACTCACTTATGAAACAAAAACATGATGCAAAAAAGATTGCAGTTTGTGTTTACGATAAAAATGATAATGAATTAAGTTTGCTTTGCAGGCATATATTACATTAGGCAAATCAAGTTGTGAGCTCATATTCATCAATGGAATCCTGCCTGATGACCTTCGTAACAAAGATCATCCTTTATCCTCAATTATACAATAATAGTGTATCTCTATATTTGGGAAATTATTTAGATAATGGAATACAATTAGTATTAATCATTAAATAAGGCCTGCTCAAAAAAGATATAACCACCAGCCAAAAGGCTAGGCATTTCCTTAGGGACCAAGTACGGCACATAATTATACATTTTATTGCCCTTGACTAAATTGTTAAATAAAAAGTCTCAATTTAATTCTTAGTTTACCAGCTCTGATTTTCAAAATATTATATTGTGAAACTCTCTTGTTATACAGACTTGTTAAACTGATAATACACAGGTCAACATTATGACTAGTGGTCAAAGTGATCTAATTAGATCTCATGACCAAAACATTATACTTATCATTAAATATTTTTAGCATTATAATAAAATTTTTAGCATTATAATAAAATATATATTTTATATAATAATTATATTAAAATATTTTTGGCACTAAAATTTCATGTTATTTCATAAAGAACCACCATCCAAAAAAAAAAGGCCCTATAATAGTTTGAATGATATGTAACCACACTTCTTTAAAATTGTGTCATTACTGTTCCTTTTCCTTTCCTAACAGTTTTTTTCAGTTATAGTATTTCTTTCAGTGGACATTATCTTACTAATGGGTATATTCTATTCTATGGATTGTCTTTAATGTCTCAAACACTATTCAAGTTATAATTGTAGTATATTCTCATAAAACATTTCTCTTGGTAAGTGATATTTGAATAAAAACAAGGCATGTTGTAAACATAATTATCAAACATGATTTAAGAACACATTATTTGAACACAAAATTTTAACATGAGCATAAATAAGAATCCTTTTGCTTACCCTTTCTGACACAGTGGGATTTTCTGATGGAGGCTGGTGATAATTTCTAGCAGAAGTTAAATCTGATGAATCTAACAAAACAAAGGAATCAATTTTAGTGATTTTTAAATCATAATCTTATATTTAGAAACTGTATAGGCATGATTCAAGAATTATAAACTCCATATTAATGTGGGACCCAAATTGGAAGACACTTTGCATGCAAAAAAAAAAATTAAGAAGATGCAGTTAAATATATCGCAATGAAGGTTTTTACAGGTGATATTTCAGAAACTAATGGTCAAGTGAGATAAGCATAAAATGTTTTAAAATATATCAGTACACTGGTACGGACAAACTATGAGTAGAATCATTTGCCAGGCATAAGATATGTATATGATATGAAAGCCTGATTGAACAGCAGACCCGTTAGGGTGTCACTCCTGTACCCCCCAAAAAAGCAGCATTATAAAAGCATTTTGTTGTTTTTGCACTTATATTCATTAATTTGATCTTTACAATTACGTGAAGTGGGTAAAGATATGTTATCTCCATTTTCACTGACAGGTTAAGAGAATTGGAAAATGGAAGCCATCAAATGGCAGAAGTGCTTTTCTACTATGCCAAACTGGATAGCACTATCCAAACAAAAAGTAGAACCTTTGGTAAAAAGCACTACTGGGGTAAATTAGCACACTGTACAAGTTAAATGTGTCCATCATAAATATGAACAAGAACAATGCGAAAAACCACACAAAGAAAAAGCACAATAGGAAAGATTAAAGTATCATTCATTTGATCCATTCAAACATTCTGTAGATTGTGCCTGGCCATTTTCCCAGGGAACTGGGTCGTTTTCAAACATCAGTACAAATTAGGTTCATATATTACATTTGGGAATTTAAACATTAAGAATCCTCTAAAGTTTGAAGCACAAAAAAACGAAATGAAAATAAGGACTAAACATTTACAAAAATGAAAACTGCTTGAAAACCCATATGGAATCACATACCACGTAATGTTCCATTCAAGCTAGTCTCCGTTCTAACAGGAAGACGTTTACTTGCAGACAGTGCTGGAGGAACACAGGGCAATTCATCTTTCAGCAAAGCCAAATTATCTCCCTGATTTGTAGAAACTACCTCACGAAGTCTCCTCGCTGGGATTTTAACTTTTTTTTTCTTTTCCGGGCTAAACTCAGAGCCTTTCATATTGTTGGTAACAAAACTAGTCCCACAGTTCTGAATGGAAGAGCTTCCTCCTGGGTCCGTGATACTTCAGGACAAAATTTTCACCTGAGGACTGAGGGGGTAGAAGAAGCAAGGGAGTACGATAAAGAAAAGGTGAATTTCAAAGGTCATTTTGAAACATGCAGTCATCAACTTTAAAAAACGTCTAAGTAGAATATCCACGAAGCTGAAAATTTAAATTTTGGCATTTAACGCAGGATTAGAGACGACTAGAAGGTCATATTTAACCATTAACCCTACTCGGTCTATTAATGCACCTTGCCAATTAATCTGAGAGGAGGACAAGAGAATGGCTGCATGAGCAGCAATAACCACATGAACAGTGCTCTCCCCAATCAAAGAGCCGGCAGTGCAGAACCACACAGCGTGAAGGCGGGGTTAAGGTTTGTTGAGAACGGGGAGTGAAGCAGGTAAAACAGAAATGCTATTTTTAAAAAATCATCCATATAAGAGGCTTAAATGGGTTTTTTTTTCAGGCAGAGTCTTACACACCACTCCAGATGCAACCATCGGGCACCAAAATTCGCCCCTCCGCGTATACAGACCGCACCGCAGTGCAGCCTTCACAGGTCTCATCTGACAACCGCTTCAGTAGCCGCGGGTTAACACCCATTTCCGTTTAAGCCCGCCCTTGAGAAACAACACGCATGCGCTGCAAGAAAACCATCCAACTAAAAACCTATGGACTCTCTCGTGCTCTTCTATCCCCCTCCGGGCGGAAACCAACTTCCGGACGTAAAGATTTAAAACAGCTGTGAATTTATTTTTCTTTTAAGGCCACACATTGCCCACAAGACTTAAGCATTGAATAAAACCCAGGAAATTCATCGAAGACCTGAAAAGCTCCCGACCTAACTGGTTAATACTACTCGTGCTGAGTAGGGACTGTTTACAGTGTAGCTCCTGGAGACCGTTAGGGACGTGGGATTAAGTAAATTAGGCTTCCATAGAGTTTCGACAGATTCGGGTCGATATCAGAGAGGCAGTCACGAATAG